ATTATGTTATGTTTTAATAATGTTTAACAGCTGAATTCCTGATGGAAAAACTACATTACCAGAATTGTGACGAGCAAATTGAGCCAAAAGAACACGAACACACTCCCATGAAGCACGACGAATGACAGTGGCTTGGTGTAAACAGAATGAGAACATGGATCCATTATGCCTTGTTACCACTGTGGAGGCTGGTGGTGGTGCACTCTCAGAAAAAAGGTACAAAAGCTGTCACTGGGGCTGTACCTTTTCAAAAGGGAAAACTTTTGTTCATTTTAGGTGCTAATATGGACATTTAGGTGCTAATATGGACATTTTAGGTACTAAACATAGGTGCTAATATGGACATTTTAGGTGCTAATATGGACATTTTAGGTGCTAATATGGACATTTAGGTGCTAATATGGACATTTAGGTGCTAATATGGACATTTTAGGTACTAAACATAGGTGCTAATATGGACATTTTAGGTGCTAATATGGACATTTAGGTGCTAATATGGACATTTAGGTACTAATATGGACATTTTAGGTGCTAATATGGACATTTAGGTGCTAATATGGACATTTAGGTATGGACATTTAGGTGCTAATATGGACATTTAGGTGCTAATATGGACATTTAGGTACTAATGTACATAGGTGCTAATATGGACATTTTAGGTGCTAATATGGACATTTAGGTGCTAATATGGACATTTTAGGTGCTAATATGGACATTTAGGTGCTAATATGGACATTTTAGGTACTAAACATAGGTGCTACTATGGACATTTTAGGTGCTAATATGGACATTTTAGGTGCTAATATGGACATTTTAGGTGCTAATATGGACATTTAGGTGCTAATATGGACATTTAGGTACTAATGTACATAGGTGCTAATATGGACATTTAGGTGCTAATATGGACATTTAGGTACTAATGTACATAGGTGCTAATATGGACATTTTAGGTGCTAATATGGACATTTTAGGTGCTAATATGGACATTTAGGTGCTAATATGGACATTTAGGTACTAATATGGACATTTAGGTGCTAATATGGACATTTTAGGTGCTAATATGGACATTTAGGTGCTAATATGGACATTTTAGGTGCTAATATGGACATTTAGGTGCTAATATGGACATTTAGGTGCTAATATGGACATTTAGGTGCTAATATGGACATTTAGGTGCTAATATGGACATTTTAGGTGCTAATATGGACATTTAGGTGCTAATATGGACATTTTAGGTGCTAATATGGACATTTAGGTGCTAATATGGACATTTTAGGTGCTAATATGGACATTTTAGGTGCTAATATGGACATTTTAGGTGCTAATATGGACATTTAGGTGCTAATATGGACATTTTAGGTGCTAATATGGACATTTAGGTGCTAATATGGACATTTTAGGTACTAATGTACATAGGTGCTAATATGGACATTTTAGGTGCTAATATGGACATTTAGGTGCTTATATGGACATTTTAGGTACTAATGTACATAGGTGCTACTATGGACATTTTAGGTGCTAATATGGACATTTTAGGTGCTAATATGGACATTTTAGGTACTAATATGTACCATTAAGGTATGCATCCTTTAGGTACTTTTGAAAAGGTACAGCCCCAGTGACAGCTTTTGTACCTTTTTTCTGAGAGTGTGGTGTAATGGTGTGGTGGATGTTTTCTTGGCACACTTTAGGCCCCTTAGTGCCAATTGGGCATCGTTTAAACGCCACGGCCTACCTGAGCATTGTCCTTTCTGACCATGTCCATCCCTTTATGGCCACCATGTCCCCATCCTCTGATGGCTACTTCCAGCAGGATAATGCACCATGTCACAAAGCCTGAATCATTTCAAATTGGTTTCTTGAACATGTCAATGAGTTGACTGTACTAAAATGGCCGCCACAGTCACCAGATCTCAACCCAATAGAGCATCTTTGGGATGTGGTGGAACGGGAGCTTCATCCCACAAATCTCCATCAACGGCAAGATACTATACTATCAATATGGGCCAGCATTTTTTTAAAGAATGCTTTCAGCACCTTGTTGAATCAATGCCACGTAGAATTAAGGCAGTTCTGAAGGCCAAAGGGTGAGGCTTATGAATGAATTCACATTTTTATTATTTTATTCAGTTGTGTTGTGAATGACAGGCAATTTTTTTCTACCTCATTTTATACTTTCAGTTGTAGCCAGCTATTTTGAGACATGAAAGAAAGACTGAATTAAAGAGCAAACGAAAGAATTCGTCAGATGGCAAATGAATGAATCGAAGCAAGGCGCGGAAAGAAAGACGCTCGCCAAGAGACTCTTTACATCACCCTGAAGATAATTTGACTCATCTCCGGAATGAACTGTTTTTAGATCAGTCTGAAAGGCCTTGAAAGAAGAGTGGTAAATGCTTTCCACATTGCCAGCAGGTGTTCAGCCTACACACAAAAGCAAACGACCAGGAGCGGACCTGTCAGAATATGTCAGCACAGCGTCATTAATTTCTTATCTCTGAATCACATTATGAAATAACTTTCAGTTAAAATCAGTTGCTGTATTATGAAACTAATCTCCATTTAACTACTTACTGTACTGCAGTCTACATGTCCTTTATGTAAAAATGGACTGTAAACCTGTTTATTTTCATAGATATGTTCATTGGCACATTTTATTAAAGCGCTAATTTATGTTATAGGCATATTTGGAGACTGTCTGTTTAATTTATAAGAACTGAATCAATACATCAATATATCAATAATCATTTTTTATTAATGCTGTTTTGTGCTGTTCATTTTAGACCACAGGAAAGCTTAAATGTTTTGTTATTTCACATTATATGTATTTATTTTATTTGAAATACAATTGGTTCATAACACGTTTACCATAGATCTTTAACAATGAGACTTCAAGCGTTGGTAACCAAATAATTTATACAAATCAAATCAATAAAACAGAACCCTGGGACTTTATCAAATTAAAACGCAAATGGTAATATATATATATATATATATATGTGTGTGTGTGTGTGTGTGTGTGTGTGTGTGTATGTAAAACCCATAGACGAATGTAATAAGTAGGCTAAGAAGAAAACTGTTAATGAATAGCCTACATAATATAGGAAAAAATAGGCGATCGTCATTTACACATAGAAGATGGGATTTAAGCATATGATTGGTTTATGCATTATAATAAATTATATAACATTTATTTAAAATAATTATAGATAGTTATAGATCGAGTATAAATAGTATAATGGACTGCATTCCAGCTTTTTTATAAATAACTATAAGGTCCCCCCGAAATACTTAGGCCTATAAGAAATGCAAGTTCATACCTATTTTTAAGTCAAGTCTAGTCAAATTTATTTATATAGGCCTAACACTTTATACAATACAGATACAATACAATAAACAATATAAAATAATAATATTAACGTTGAATGCAATTTCAGCAGCTCTTTCAATAGCGCTTGTTCAGTAAATCTCTAGTGGTGGAGTGCTGCCACCCTGTGTTCAGTCTAGGCATAACTCATAGAGAACTTCAACTCGTTTATGATAAATCTATTTTGTTTATAATATGTGGTGTGAAGAGTCAATTGCTGGAATTTATGGAACTCAAAGGGAGACTCAGAAGGATGTGTGATTATATTAATAAATGAATGTGTCTTAAATAGAAATAGAAAAATTCTTCAGAATTGTGAGATGTAATTGCAATTTTGAGAAAAAAAGGCTCAATCATCCTTTAAAATGTTTTATTCTGTGGCGTTTTACCCCAGAGATAGTTTGAGGAAAAAAGTGTCATTTTAAAAATATTTATAGTTTTCTTAAATTACTCCCTATACAGGCATTACTATATAAATACCAGTAATGTTCTGCAAAAAAGCATGAGTTAAAAAAAATTTTTTTTAAACACTATGCCTAAACACTATTTTTCTTACTGCTGAAAATTAGATCTGAATCCATGAAAACTTCTACATCAGTCTTGTCAGCAAAAACAAAAACGTGTCTATAGACTTAAGGGCCCCACTACTGTTTTTCCAAAAATAACTACTATAGACCATTTTGCAAGATGTAAACAACACTGGTCCAGAAGCACTTCCTGTTTCAGTTTTTTAACACTACATAAAAACTGGGATAAAATACAACCAACAGAACATGTAAAACTGAATCAAAAAGTTAAACAACATCTTTAAGATGTTTTCTTTACATGTGAAATAAAGAAAACGGTTACAAACTGAAACAGGAAGTGTTTCTGGACCAGTGTTGTTTACATCTTGCAAAATGGAAAAACACTAGTATATAGTAGTTGTTATGGGAAAAACAGTAGTATAGTAAACTAGTAGTTATTTTGGAAAAAAAACAAGTATATAGTAGTTATTTTGGGAAAAACAGTAGTATAGTAGTAGTTATTTTTGAAAAAAAAAAAAAAAAAAACCCAAACAAACAAAACAGTAGTATAGTATACTACATAGCCTAGTAGCCTAGTTATTTTGGGAAAAACAGAAGTAGTATAGTATGCTATAGCCTAGTAGTCATTTTGGGAAAAATAGTAGTATAGTAGTAGTTATTTTTGAAAAAACAAACAAACAATCAAACAAAACAGTAGTATAGTATACTATATAGCCTAGTAGCCTAGTTATTTGGGGAAAAACAGTAGTAGTATAGTATGCAATAGCGTAGTAGTTATTTTGGGAAAAACAGTGGGGCCCTTTACCCCAAGGGGGCGTTTTCACCCACTCTACTCTATATTCTTTTCTCCCTCAATTGTTTTAATTGAAAAAAGTGCTTTTATTTTACATGTCAAATTTAACTGGCAATTTAAAGACAGTTAAAGCTGCGAAATGTGACTTTACATAAGAATTGAATAAAATTCTGTTTAACGAGTCCAAGACCTCGAGTTCAGGTGAGACTGCAACATAGAACTAGAGACGATCACATTGGCCGCGTCCCAAAACCTAGTGAGCTGCCTAGCTAGATAACATTTTGGAAGCTCATAAAGTGCGCGTCTCGATTGGTTTTGTGAGCAGGCAGCACACTAGGGTTTGAGTCACGGCCGCGTGTGCATACACCCACCCCGCCTCTCTCCAGCTGATGCCCGCGCCCTGTCAATCTCTATCCCGGCAGAGAGGGAGAGGACGGGGGGAAACCGAACCAGAGCGGGTCCGCGGGGGGAAGAGGCGCATGAAAACATCCATGGGTGGCTGTGTGGGCAGTCATCATGATTCTTCAGGCAGTTTAAACGAAAACTCGGACGGAACCGGAGGTAGGAAATGAAGCATACCCAGGAAATGCGATTCAATTTGTGCTTTTTTTTGGGGTCTGCGTTGCTTCCCTTGTCTCCTTCTCGGCTTGTTAGTTAGTGCTCTGAAACATCGTGCTGGGTTTTGCGTCGCTCGATCGCTCCTCTCGGACACGCGCATGGCTGTAGGGACAATTAAGACTGTGATTTTGTGATTATGCAAATATTTTCTTAATTCTCCCCCACCGCTCTTTGTCTTTGTGCATTGAGTCGTTTTTGCATATAACACCTTCCTACTAGCTGGTTAGCTTTAGCTGTGTGTTATATATAAAGAGAGTTAGCTTCATGGCTAGTGTGGAGCTGTTTCTGTTCTTTTTAGTAAAATGTGGGTCATGGTTTTGTCTGGGATTGCACAAATTCTGTGTTATTCTCCATCTTTATCTTGTTTATTGCAAACCATTTGGTTTCAAATATTGTATCTCTCACTCAGGACAGGAGTGCTGTTATACTGAATATCTGCATGGCCATGATTTGGCCATAAAGCGCAAGGCCGTGCTGATATTCAGATGGTGAGTGTGATATTGCTTTTATACAACTTGTAACTTGTTTCAATTGGCTAGTTAAATTATATATTTTCTTCTCCAACAAAAATACTTTCATATAGTTTCAAAAGAACCGAAAATAAACTATTTTTGTGACTCTGTGGAACATGAATATGAGCGGAGCAACTAAGGCTACGTTCACACTACGCTCAAATCCGATTTATCGCTCTGATATGTTTAATATATATATAATTTACTCACCCCCATGTCATCCAAGATGTCCATGTCTTTCTTTCTTCAGTCGAAAAGAAATTAAGGTTTTTGATGAAAATATTACAGGATTTTTCTCCATATAATGGACTTCAATGGGGACCAAACGGTTCAAGGTCCAAAAGACAGTTTCAGCGCAAACTGTTCAAAGGGCTTTAAACGACACCAGACGATGAATAAGGGTCTTATCAAGCGAAACGATCGGCCATTTCAAAAATAATCAAAAATTTTTTACGTTTTATAAGCTCAAATGCTCGCCTTGCTCTGTTCTGTGATGCGCGATCGTGACTCTCCTGTTCGAACTCGTTCATCAAAATGAACATCTTTTTTTGAGTCATGAGTCGAAGGGTCCTTGATAAGATCCTTATTCATCGTCTGGTGTCGTTTAAAGCTGCACTGAAACTCTCATTTGGACTTTGAACCGTTTGGACCCCATTGAAGTCCATTATATGGAGAAAAATCCTGGAATGTTTTCATCAAAAACCTTAATTTCTTTTCGACTGAAGAAAGAATGACGTGGACATCTTGGATGACATGGGGGTGAGTAAATTATCAGCAAAAGTTTTTTTAAAAGTGAACTACTCCTGCATAGGCAAACAGACGAGGACATGAAAAAGTGACCAGAGTTTTAAACATTTATGATACGAGCCTTCATGTTTTGCTCATAGAGCTGTCACTGTAATACTTGTAAATCTGTTCACACTGTCTTGAGAAAAACAGACCTGTCACATATGAACAAAACTATTCTGATTTGGGCCACATAAACCTGCAGTCGGAATAAAGATTTTTTTTTTTAAATCATTTAAACAATTTAATAATCATTTCTAAATGAGAATAGGAAAGACACACCACAGCTATAACAATGAAGACAAAGAGGAACAATATCAGAGTGTCCCTAGGCTAGTTATCGTTATTGTCATCTTTATATCACCATAGGACAATCTGCAACAACATCTGATATTTTAATAATTGTATAATAGGGCTAATTGAATAGGGCCAAACCTTGACCACTTCAGACAAAATGAATGATCACCCAGTGCCAAATGAGTCACTGATATTTATGGTCTGTTTTGCTGGAAGAGAAAATCTGCAATAACATGCATGGATTAGCCACAAAACTGAATTTATTTCATCACAAGCATCAAAGTCGTCTGTGTTTGTTAATAGTTGAGACACTCGTGATTTCCCGCTCTAGTCACAATCAAACTGGTGTTTTTGTTCGGATAAGTGCTGATATACAGGAAGCTTGTGCCAAACCACAATAAATGGATGATATAAAAACAATATATAAGATGTCAGCAATTACTGCTTTTCTCTTCCAGGCTCTCATATGATGAACAAAAATAGCTTCTAGACAAAGCCTATGGGACTAAATTGCTCACCATGTGTCATTATTGTAATGAGAGCGGCACCCTTAGATGAAACCCTGAACGGTTCCTGAAATTGACAGTTACCTGCGGACTTAATGGCTGCTAATTTTCCACGGCTCACAGCGCTTGATTTGGATGTCAACAATTGAACAGCTCCTTGGGGATGGAGGAGGTAGTTGTGCCTGGAGGAATTGCTAATGTTTCAAAGAAGTAATAGCAAACTTTGAGTTGAATATGACGTTTATTATAGCCGCGTACACACCGCAGCAGCTAGATAGTGTAGTTCTGTACTTACACAGTTCAGTGTGTACTGACAGGCTAATTCTTTATATTAGGCTTTTTAATTTAACTTTTATTTAAAGGAGTAGTTCACATTAAAAAAAACATTTGCTGATAATTAACTCGCCCCCATGTCATCCAAGATGTCCACGTCTTTCTTTCTTCAGTCGAAAAGAAATTAAGGTTTTTGATGAAAATATTCCAGGATTTTTCTCCATATAATGGACTTCAATGGGGTCCAAACGGTTCAAGGTCCATATGACTCTCCTGTTCGAACTCAGAATGAACCAATCTTTTTTTGAGTCATTTGGTTCATTCAACGAACGAAATTACTCGAAAAAAAAAAGATTCGTTCATTTTGATGAACAGGAGAGTCACGAACGCGCATCACAGAACAGAGCAAGGCGAGCATTTGAGCTTATAAAACTTAAACTTTGTTATTTATTTATTAAATGAGTGCTCGTTTCGCTATATAAGACCCTTATTCATCGTCTAGAATCGTTTAAAGCCCTTTGAAGATGCACTGAAACTGTCATTTGGACCTTGAACCGTTTGGACCCCATTGAAGTCCATTATATGGAGAAAATACTGGAATTTTTTCAAATCCTGAAACAATCCAGTAATGTGAGTAAATTATCCGCAAATGTTTTTTTAAAAGTGATCAAATCCTTTAAGTATGTTGTCAAAATGCTGTTGAACGATTCTTAAACACCTCTGATTGGCCGTTGTGTTGACGCATTCAACATAAATGTCTGTGATTGGCTGTAATGACATTTTTTGATGCTCTTCACCGTTCGCTTCGATGCGCATGGAAGTGTTTGAAAGCAGGCGTCTGTTAACGGATCCCTACTATATATCCGCTTATGGAAAGATTCGCTGATATATGTTTGCTCCCGTGTCGTGTGGATCTCGTCATAGTAGCTATCATGCCCATTACAGTTTCATATCTCAGTGTTATAAACGTAGAGTGAATGCAAAGCGAGCCATTTTCCTTTTTGGTCCGGATCAAAAGAACCAAGAGAACCAAACTACAAGTGTGAACGCAACTTGTTCATACATTATCACTCAGATATTTTTGTCATCGTAACACTGAGTCAGCAGTGTGTTCGCTGCTCATGCCGGCTGTTTGTGAGGTGAAACTCGAGTGCCATGTCTGTCTTGCATTATGCAGTGTTCGAGTTCTCCAAGCAGGCACAGGCGTCCTCGTGCCAGGCCACGCTTCACCTGGATCATTGGGTCGTCATGGAGATGAATGTGGAACGTGGAGTCGGCCCGACGTCTTGCATAATGTCTAGGTTTATACCCTTAAAGGAATGTTTATTCATTTACTGGAGGATGTAAGGATTAAAAAAATCGTTCCTCTGTGACAAATACATTTTATTGGCATGATTATGCCCCGGGCCTTTGTCTTTAATTACAGTGAAATATGACTTCAGAAACGCGAGCTATTGGCTTACAGATGTTCTCGGTGAAGTGACCCATACCTGCCTATGTTAATAACCCAGACAGCTTGCCATTAGTTTCCCAGAATTCCTTTCATGTTAGAAGATGTTTTATTGTTGGCCAACTAACAGAGAATTCAAGACAGCTGGAAGTTATTCAGAGGCATTCGCAAGGGCATTTCAGGCAGCGCAGAAAGTGTTGAAACACTGATGTTCTCCATAGTTAAAGGAGTAGTTCACTTTTCAAAAAACTTTTGCTGATAATTTACTCACCCCCGTGTCATCCAAGATGTCCACGTCTTTCTTTCTTCAGTCGAAAGGAAATTAAGGTTTTTGATGAAAACATTACAGCATTTTTCTCCATATAATGGACTTCAATGGGGTCCAAACGGTTCAAGGTCCAAAAGACAGTTTCAGTGCAAACTGTTCAAAGGGCTTTAAACGATTCCGATGAATAAGGGTCTTATCAAGCTAAACGATCGCTCATTTAATTCATAAATAACAAAGTTTAAGTTTTATAAGCTTAAATGCTCGCCTTGCTCCGTTTTGTGATGCGCGTTCGTGACTCAAAATGAACGAATCTTTTTTCCGAGTTATTTGGTTCATTCAACGAACGAATTGACGGCGAATGAGTTCATTTCAACAGAAGAAAGATTTAAACACGTACTGATAAAATGTCACTTCTTTTTGAGTGTCAGGTGATTAAGACAAAGATAAACGGTTTACTCCGCAGTTCACATATTCGTTCATTTTTATCTGTAGCGAAAATTTGAGATTCCATTATGTCCATATATGTATACGTTTTTATTTTTTGATTGGGTGCGATATGTGGTTTCACTTTGCAGTTTGGAAGCAAACAGTTCCTATTTGAAAATACAAGGTCAAGCTAGTGGCATTTAAAATAGTAGTGCATGCTTAATTTAATTACGGTAACGAGGCAGTGAGATGGTCAGTCATGTCACATGACGATGGCCTGCAGTATGTTTTGAGGTGTAAAGGCCCGTACACACCGGGACGAATATCAGCGCGCGTTATTCGTCAGCGTTTTTCAACGCGTTTTTTGTGTTCACACCCAAGCGATTTTCACCGACGACGAGCCGAGTGAACATGCAAATTCATTC